GATTTACCCTCCATGGTATATGAAATAACTCAAAGGAGTTGCTGTGGCCTGTTGATCAAATCTATACTGGAAGGACCTTAGGAAAGCTGCTAGATCTATTGCTCTAAAGCCTGTCTAGGTACAGCAGGTTTTGTTACCAACATGGTTACACCAGCTTTCTGTGACTTGAAGCAACACGTTTTCATATTCGTGGGTGGAAGTGAAATGTATTTTCAGATTGCTCAAATACTTTTATCCATTTTCTCTTTAAGTTGATTGTGTCACTTAGAAAGCAAAAGCAAATGTTTAAAGACATGTAGTTTGTAATGTGCCAGCTGAGAAAAAGGGATGGAAGATGAAGCAGGTACACCTGCAACCATGCTTCTCCTTTTTTCCCCTTGGTCCACAGAAAGTGTGCTGGTTCAGGAAAGAAAAATGCAGGTATTAAAGCCTAACTGTATTTGAAGGGAATCTTGTTCTGCACACGTCTGGTCTGGTGTTTGTTGTTGCTGGCAAACGTGTGCTCTGACAGTTTGGGAACTTCTGTTGTGAGGACTTGCGCCATCCATTCACTCTGGGAGTGAAAAGGCTGGAGATCTGGTTTGGCTCTGTCCCGAGTCTGCTGGGTGTGTTTTGAGAACTCTGGTATCCATTTGAATTTCAGCCACTCTGTGTATGTGTCCAAGGATTTATGCCTTTTCCTGGCGCTGCGTCCCATGACTTCAGGAATTTACCAGCCAGTGTGAAGATTGTTTTAATGAAAATCTCTTTCAAAATTTGGTTTCCACTACAGGGGCCCTACTTCCAGCTCTGTTGATTCCCATTGACTCTAGCAGGAATCAAAGGGAATAGTACTTTAGAGAGACAGCTTTAACAAGTAATTCAAAGGCGGTGAAGACAAACAAGAAATAATCTGCCTTCAATGAACTTTACATCACATTTTCAGGAAGGTGTAATCCCACATATTCTCTTGGTAGGAAAATCTTCCTGCACTGACCTGGAAACTTTGCATGTGCCTCATTTTTATTGGACTTGTATCCAGCCAGCTGTTCCATCGAGATTCTTATTTTCTTCTGAGGACCTGGTTGGCTTTTGTATTTATGAAGGTAACGGTTATACAGCAACAGACTTGAGGGTCTTGAAGTGAAATTTCAGTGTGCTTCATCTCCTTTGGAACTGTCAGCATCAAGGTGCAGTCTCAAGGCACTTGCATGCAGCTTGGTATCTTCATTCCTGCATTACAGGTAGGAAACTGGATGCACAGGGCAAAACGTTTTGCTTGGGAAGCAGAACAAAATCTCACCCACCCAGCCTAGTGCTGTACCCATGGGGGCTGTGGGAAGGCTTGCAAGCACCTGATAGACACTTTGAGAGGCATCAGGAGGGCAGAGGTGAATGTGGGCTGGCCAGGTTTGCCTCTAACCCATGCCAGCCATGGCCGTAAGGGAGCTCATGGACCTGTTTGTACAGCATTACATTTTTTGGTGTTTTTTTGACTAAATAGAATTTGACTCTAGAAAAAAGCAAACCTTTCAAAGCTCCGAAGTGGCCAGAAGGATTCATTCTTCTGACAAGTAACTTTAACAACATGTCTTCAATGGAGTCCATGTGTCCGCTTTCAGACAATTTCTACTGGAAATGCCTTCACAAGTAGACGCATTGCTGTAAATAATCAGATTTCAAACACTACAACTCCGAGTCATTTTGAATATAGTCCTGGAGTTGGAATAACATACATAAAGCTGGCTGCCCTAATGCAGAAAAAGGAACTGTAAGGCAAAATCCAAACCAGGAAATGCTGCCAACTTAAGGCAAAGTAAACTGAGAGCAATAAATCAAACTGAAAGACATATTTTATTGTGGACTGAACAATACAGGGCCTGACGTTTCCACAGGCAAGGCACAAATATCCTTTTACTATCAAAACCAAAAGCTTTTAGAGCTTCAAAAGGAGCTGCAGGCAAAGGAGCAAATAAATGACAGGCTGAGCTGGTCTGATGGGGCTTTGTGGGTTGTGTTATAGAGGTCTTAGAAGATTCACAGATGTCTGCTTGCCCTCCAAGCGTCACTGCTGACCATGTCATCCCCAGCTGCTAACGCTTGCAGCAATTTTGGGCAGGTGAACTAAAACAGCTTAACAAGTTAGCTCCCTTCAGCTGAGCTGCTGTGAGCATCTGTGATGTGAGCCCATCTCCATTGCAAGGCAAAATGTATCAGCTTGCATTTCGTTTGCTGAAGATGCTAAAATCAACCTTCCGATAAAGATTTAAGCCAACATTTTGAGCTTGTGGTGGGGACTTCTGGCAGAGACAGCTCAGCTGAGAGGAGATACCTCCTCGAGCTCTTCTGGCTTGGTTGCAGTTAACAATGAGCTCGTGTCCAGGCTGTTGCTGTGAGGCCTAATTCTCTACCTGCTGTAAAAGCAAGTGGGACACTAAACCCAGTGGATGATGTCGCATTTTGCTTTTTAACTTTACTTTACTTTGTCGTTCAGTGTGTCAGCTCTTCTGGAACCTTACACGTGGACTAAATATCCCCTGACTGCTGCAGAGCCAGAGTTTTCCCAACCAAAGGCAGACAGCTTTCCGGAAATGGGAATAAAAGATCCTATCTGCTGTCCTCTTCTCTATGGAGGAAGAGCAGAGAGGGCGTTACAGTGTGTTGTGTTCACACCTGAGCAGCCTGGGCATCTTGTCATCCTTTTGGAACATACTTCAGAGTTCCTCATGGCGGTACTCAAGTCTTAAGAGTTCCCTTTGCACCCCAGGTTGCAAAGCAAGCATGTGCTGGATCCTGGAAGGCGACTGCAGCCTGCAGAGGCCTGTGGCCGCCTTTCCTGTGCCTTGTCTCTGTAGGGCTCGTCCGCAGACTGCTGTGGGTGACATTTGGCCCACACAGGAAGATAAGATTAAGACTGGAAGGAACTTCCTAAGTCATCAAGTCCTGTCCCCCGCTGTTGAAGGCAACCACATCATATGATGTCTTTCGAACACTTATCTAGTTCCATCTTGAAACCATTTCGGTTTCTTGCCCTCACTACTCCTACTGAGAGGCTGTCTTTCTTCTCGTGGTTATAAACCTTCTTCTAATTTCCAGCCTAAATATGTCCAGGGCAGTTTAGGCTGTGTTTAATAGATACTAAGAAAATAAATTAGTCACCAGCTTTTATTTATGTGCATCAAGCTTTTGATACGCATGTATATAAGGCCCCTCTGCTGCCGTGTGTATGCTGTGCTCATGGGGAGATATCTGGATGAGGGGGAAGGGGGCCAGCACTGCTGGGTGCCCCGGTTCAGGGAGGAGGGGATGACCTGGGCAGTCAAGGGAAAACAGGGGGCAAAGGGGAGCAAGCGGAGAAGGAAAGTGAGGAATGGGAAAGGAGAAGACAGCTGAGGCAGGGCAGGGGTCAGGAACAAGGTGTGAGAGGCAGTGAAGCCTGATGAGGAGCGGAGAAATTCTGAAACAGAACGTGGTGGGGGGGAAAGGCGCTTTTAAGAAAAGCAAATAATGATGCAGATAAAACATAAGGAAACAATATTAAGGCAACAGGCAAGCAGATAAGGAATGTAAGGCAAAAGGGGAAGATTCACAGAGAGTTCAGAGCAATGAAAAAAGAAACCAATTCAGAGATGAAACCCAAAACTATTTCAAGTATGGGGTATCCCACTTGTTGGGGCAGACTCCAGTTCTGACGCACAGGCTGGCTGGGCCTCTAAGCTCTTCTCCCAGCTGCAGGTCCCACGAAAGGGAAGCACAGGCTTCGTCTTTGAGAAAGAAATGACTGTAGAGAGGCAAATCTGTGTTTTCTGAGAATATTCACATATTATTTCTGAGGAGGGTGGGGACTTGAAGAGGGAATGAAAGGTACAAAGGTGTTAGCTGATGTTTGCTGGTACTCAGCAAAGCTCCTCTCTCTGCTGGTCTGTGTGAAGTTGCATTGTTAATACAGCAACTAAAGGATACTAAAGGAGAAGCCGTTCCCCTTCATCAAAACACAGTTTAAATAGCAAAAGACAATTCCTAACAGAGTGGGTAATTTTAAAAAGGGATGGGGCTTTTCCCCTCCCTGAGGCTAGCACACTGTGGCACTGTTGTGTAAAAAGACTTGCGGATGAAGTGAGAAAAACATGGGTCTATGGGCATATGCATAGGGGATAGCAGAAACCTTTGTACTGAGCTAGCTTTAAAGATCCTGCAAAGAGCAGAATTTACTCATAGTTCATGGCAAATGTTATCCTGCAAGTTAGCAGAAAGCTGTATCTGGGAGGTGGGGGAGGTAGCTGTAAGATGAGGTTATTCTGCTCTGTAACTCTGTGTTAATAGCCGTTAAGGATCCTGTCATGTTGTAATTACTTTATGCACAGTGAATACTTGCACAGAGGCCTAACAGGCTCCTGCAGCCTGTACTGTGTAGGGACAGAGGCAGCACTGGAGGCACAGACATCAGCCACATCTGAGGCTCTAAATGTTTAACCGTGTGCTTTGCTTTGAGAAGTCCTGGGGACAAGGCAGGTGCTTATGTGCAGCATATGTGCAGATGGCTTTGCAGAGTCAAGACCACTGTGTGTATTCTGCATGTGGTGCTGATGTGATGTGAAGTCATGGGAATGCGGCCAGTGACCAGAGTGAGGATTGCTCCAGCTCTGGACTTGTTGATACTCATAAACACTAAATGGAATTTTGGTCATCAATGGGATATAACATTGGCTCTCCTGTCAGTTCTCCTTTCCTTAAAATACGACTTTAGAAACTTTTTTTCTTTACCTTATGCTGGTACTCAGTGAGATGGGACCTTTTCTGATACAGATTCCTGTATTTCAATATCAAAACTTGAAATTCATTCCTCTCAAGCAAAAGAGAAGCAAAGCCTTTATGTGTTTTAGATGAGACTGGTGGGTTTGAGTCCAGTCCCAACCTGCAAATCAGGCAGGATTCATTCAAGAGCATTAAGCTTGTATTACTGTGTATTTTTTAGAGGACTGTAAGTTGTTCCTTTATTTTTTCTTTCTCTCCTCAGATGCACATATATGAAATGGGTGTTTTCTGTCCTTATAGCAAGAGTGCTAGTTTCCATCAAGCCAATTAATGAATGGGAGGCGATGTTCAGTGTGAATACCAGGGGCTGCTATCTGATCGGAGGAGAGCTGGGGGCATTGCCTGCATCTTAGTGCAAGTCATCAGGTGGCATATTCACCAAGGAGTCAGCCAGCAGTTTGATTGACTTCATTACAGTTTATCATTATGTCTGCCTCCTTTTTTTTATTTCTACATTTAATCACCTAATATCATTTTTATCAGCTTGTCAGGGCGTGGGAGAGAGTGGTGGGGAATTTGTTTCACTTCCTCATAGTACATGTCTGTTTTGGTAAAACATTATGGCAAGTTTATGACTGTCCTACTTTAAAAAATAAGATCCAAGTGAACTATTTAAGCCTGTGAGTAACAAAACATCTAATTAGCATTAACTCTTAGCTGTAAAACTATCATAGGTTCTTCATTGCAAGGTACATTTCTGTATCATTTGAGACACATAATGAACCAGTAACTGGTAGCCAGGTGGTTGCTTAAAAACTGCACCTTCCCAGCTCAAAACTTGCTTTTGATTGAAGCATGTTATTGTCCCTATGATAAGACCTGTCACATACTATTGGAGAACTGATTCCCAGTTCTAAGAGTATCTTCTTCTTCATTTAATAAGGCACCAAGCCAAACCACTCTTCATGCCTCTATAGCTTGGCCACCAGAAAAGAAGATGACTTCCCCATGTGCCATATGTGTATTCTGGATGTGGAAATGTGTTGCAGTTTCGGTGGAGAGCTAACAGTTGGTTAACTCGTATAAGATTTTAAGACAGCAGTTAATAGCGAGGTTGGAAACTGAAATTCTAGCTATTTAACATTTGCTGTGTATGCCATGCCTGGTTTTAGATGCTGTTCTTGCAGGGAAAGTGCATTCTTGCACGGACATCAATCTAGAAATAGCTGTTGTAAAAAAAAACAACCCCGACATAAAAAAAATCCTGTAGGCTTCCAAGATATCCTTGCGTCCAGATATACTGTAACAGTGTGAATTTAGGATGATGCCATGCGTGCAGTGGTGTTCATCTTTTGGTTCAGAAAATGGCTAGTTCAGCCCATACAAAGGTGGTATGAAACAGTCATCACATCTCCTTGTTCGAGAAACTGCTTCTCAACAGTGACCCAAGTTTCACTGGAGGTTACTGTCTGAGAATAGATGGTATAAATCACACTTTCCCCACCTCCTCCTCTGCCAGCTCTCCTGTCTAGTGCCTGCATTCAGAAAATTGCCTCCATCCCAGAAGGTCAAGACAAGTGCTACCAGCGATGAGATCCTCTTCTATGGCATCTTCAGTACAGGTCCCCAGGGGACTGGACCTCTGCTGATTGTTCTCCAGATTACTGCATTTCTCTAACAGGCTTTAGTGTCTCAAAAATTCACTCCATTCCTGACCTTCTCAGATCTCTCAGCTGGCAGTTTTCCACAATGCCATCAAACTGGATGCTGTAACCTTTTAAAAAATGTTGTTAACGGAGGTTAAAATCACAGATGCATTTTAGGTTTGATTTCTCTTTTAGAAATTCCAAATTACGCCGCATATTGGAAAGGCCTGGTTTGGCTCGGAGCCATTCTGATAGATGTCATATTGCTAAACAAGATGGGCCTAGAAGTATGCCTAGATGTTTCCTTTTTTATTTCAAACAAATACAAGCAGTAGATTAACATTTGGCTGACCCTGGCGGCAATTGCTAAATGTAATGTTTAGAGCAATCTAACACCCTGATACTCTGCGGTCCTCCACAGCGGAACGTTGTTTTCAAGCAGCTTTCCAAGTTTTACAAATCTGGGGTATTTCTACAACAGAAGCCTAACCCATGTACCAGCAGATCGAGAGCACCCAAACCGCATGGTCTGATAACATTATGGGGGTGTTTCTCGACCTGGTTGTGTGGACAACAGCAAAGTGCTCTGTAGCTGGCCGTTTGCTTGCAAGTAGTCGATTAAGAATCATACTTCTGTATCATTTATAAAGTTTCTGCACTGTATTGCCCAAAACCAGCTTTCAGTGAGCAGGGAAGCCCACGCCAAAAAGCGTGTAAGCAAGCGATAGAGTCAAGTCACGTGAGAGAGAATTAAATTTTCATGTCTCATAAATGAAATATACATTAGGGACTCTCTCCAGCGACCTCCAGGTTCTGTAGTTTTTGGATCAGAGCTGAACACCTAAATCATGGAGCCACAGCGGCCTGTAACACATAGATGGCGGGTATTGCCTTGCTATGGGCCTGCGGTGGTAAACAAATGGAACTAGTTTTGGAGAACTGCTATTGACAGTAAAATTCTAATTTTGCTCCAGCTCCCAGAACAGATGTACCTCAGAGTCCATAGACTGCAATACTTAACTGCAGCTACTCAGCTGTGACCTTCAGCCTCAGGCTCACTGCAATAAAATTTTCATGCAACCATATGGAAGAATATTTTAATAGAGATTTACTGTCAGTAACTGTCCCAAAGGAGCAAATAAGGAAGCTGTAACATATTGCGTACAGTAAATCAAGGGGACTTCAATGGAAAAACGAAACCTCCCTGAGGCAAGCATCTTTAAAATTACAGGCAACACTTTGTACAAATATGTGTACAAAGGACTAGATACGCACTCAGTTAAGCAACTCAAAATGGTTTTGATTTGAAGATATATTTATTAGAACTTATTTATTGTATTTGTAAGTGCTAATGGGGGAGGGGGTCATCTCGCCGGGCTCGCCAGCAACTGCTGAGCAAGTTTTTGGCTTCATCGGACGTGATGCGAAACAGGCAAAAGCAGAGAGCAGGAGGGAATGGGAGCGCCGAGTCCATGAGTTCACATGGCAAATTGCATCTCCCAACAACCACAACTGCAGTGGTGCTCTCTTAGCCACTCTGACCATACTGAAGGATTTTTAGTTAAGAGCAATTAAGCTTTGCAATTGCTGGTTGCTTCCTGAAGCCTGGTGGAACTGTCAGGAAATGAAGGGGAAATTCCTGCTGGAGTGCTCAGTAGGAAGCAGGAAACACAAATGCTGTAGCTTTGCAAGCATGTCAGAGCTGTTCCCTGTTGGCAGTCCTCTGGGGAACTTCATGTGTGTAGACTGAATGTGAGAAGCACAAACAGGCAGAGGTCTGTCCATTTGGAGGTGTTAAGAATTCACCTTTTAGGGCTTCATTCTCTTTCCCTTTTTCAGGAATTTCTACAACTGGATAAAGGCAAACTGGAATCTGAATTTCTCCTCTACTCTCACACTGCGCACACACTTGTTTCATTCCTCTAATGAGGCTAATAACATGACAAGGCAATAAATCAGGAGCAAGTAGATTAAATGCTCAGAGAGGTAGGACCGAGTTATCCTTTGTAATATTCGGTACTAAGCATCATGTAAAGAACAGCTTACCTGAAAACTTACAGGTGTATATTGAGCATACTGAATCATGAAGTATGTGATGAAAGACATAGCAAAGCCCAGGAAAAAAAAATAGCCAAGCAGTAGGATGCAGATCTGCCTTTCTGAAGGAAAAGTGGAGTATTGCATATGAGGGACACCTTCAAGCCCCAACAGCGAGATGATTGGCAAATATTAATGCAGTCTGAGGATTTCCCCGGGTTGCCATGGAAACCAGGTAACACACATATACATATACATATGCACATGCAAATTCATGTGGGCTGCCATTAGCAAGCAGTCCAAAAGCATCCTTTATCTGGTTCCTTGGCTCCAATTCAGTGGTGAACTCTGGTTATGAGGAGGCGATCACACCTGTCAAAGGCAAAAGTAGCACAGGGTCCCTGCCTTCTGACTGCCATTGCCTTCAGCTCCTAGTTCACTCTTTGTTGTTTCTGAATGCACGTGAGTGGATAAGACCACTATTGTGGTCACCAACCTCATACTCCAAACTCTCCCTTTTCACATGCATATTTTGGAGAGACGTGGGTGCAAATCTTAGTTTGGATAGGCCTTTCTTTACTCCAAAGTAAAAAAAAAAATGTTATTCTTTACTTGGGTACATCTTAGAGGGCAGAGGGCTTGAGGAGCATCCTTTGCTCAGGATGGCAGTGAGGACAAGCAGCTCTTGATGCAGGAGTGCTCTCCAAGCACTCTGTGCCAGGGAGCATTACTGTCTACTGCCTTGGATGGGTGAACAGGAGAAGTAGCAGGGGTGTATCTTGGTGTAAAACTGCAAAGAAAGGAGTTATAAACATGCCATAACTGTGTGCAGTTTTGGTGGTGAGACAAACATTGTAAGAAGAATGAGGAAAAGCAAAACAAACCAAGGCATTTTCCATTTTGCAAATAAACAAGCTGTGTAAAAGAAACTGCACTTCATCCCCGTGTTTTCCTAAATGGAGTCCTGTGCAAGACCCTTCATGTTGACTAAGTGCATGGTCCGAAGTGACCACTGGAAAGGAAAAAGCATGTTAAAACGGTCATTTCAGTATGGACTCTGAAAGCACTGCTCCTCTCTGCCTGGTGCAATGACTCTGGAGGCTGCTGTTGTATCAGCAGCCTAGTTCCAGAAGAACTTTATGATTTCCAACAGCTATTTCAAAGGAAGGGCAGATTTAACTTTAGAACATCTCATGCCTACTCTGGATAGCAATTAGAGATGTTTAAAATAAGGCGTTTTTACAAAAAGTATTTTTAAATTGCTGTTTTCCATCTCTTTATTTTTACTTTGCAAATCATTCATTTCTGTGCTATAAAATAGGTTGGGTAGCAGTTCTGGGTCCCCTCCTTTGCTCCTCACGTGTGTCTAATATGTAAGAAGTCCTCACTTTGCCTGAGTCTGAGCATTTCCATTTCACTGAACTCTTGCTGTGCTGTGAAACATCAGCTACAGGCAAAGGTCTGCCAGTATATATTGATTTTGTTTTCATTTATTTGTTGTTTGTGTTATTTGGTGGGGTGTTTTGGTATTAGCCATAGTGTCAGATTTGGACTAACCTAAGGAATCTATAGGGTGTTTTCCCCTTTTGCTTCTATGTACCTGTTTCCCTCTTGAAATGCTCTATTCAAAGAGCGCCCAAATGAGAGGATTATAAAAGTTTTGTTTTGCTGATCCACTGTTGATAGAGGCTTTTGAGGAAAGACAAATCACTGACAGGCTCTGAGCATCACAGAGATTGTCTCTTCTTAGCTCAGTACTGTTTAATCACCTGCAGGCATCCCAATTACCATAAGCAGAATTACTATCCCAATTAAGCAGCAGTCCTTGCCACTTGGTGTCATTAGGCTTAATTTGGTTCCTTGGGAAGTGTCCTGATTAAGTTGATTACCTGATTAAGTGGGTGTACTCTATATGATGGGCCTGATGCATCAGTGCTTTATGCTAGTTCTGCTTGTTGATTAAAGTGCTATTATGGCAGCGTAGAAATAGAGCAGTGCCAAGGTGAATCTGGCCCCCTGCTTTTAGCAGTCATTGTCCAAGCTTACAAATACTTTGCATTTCTAGCAGGAAGCCACTGGACACAAATCACTCCTGGGTTTAATTCTTCATTTTTGGAGGAAATGAAATTGGGATGAAATCAGACAGTTCTGCTTCTTGCGAGCAAAATAGTGAAATTGGCTGTCTTCAAGGGGGTGGCTGACATGGTGAAAATGGACTTGAGTAATACAAGATAGGAACATTTAGAATTTAAAGACAGGGGAAAAAAAAAACCTAGCAGCTCAGGTTGCTACTTTTGCACTGGTTTTCCATGCTGGAAAGTACTGGTGTAGCGTATCAGCCTATTTCTGCAATGAGCTAGAGACCTACTGCCTGAGAATGCAGTCACAATTATGTTTTTAAATACTTTATATCTATTTGTTTTTCTTGGCTACCTCTGGGAATAACCTGGAGTGTCAGAATATTAGGAGCCATATTCATTCACTGGTTGACATTGTCAAAAGCAGCGATATCATAAGAGGGGTTAAGTAGGCATCACAAGAAAAAAGGAAGTTATTTCTGGCCAAGCCAGAAGTAAGAGGGAGCAGAAGCAAAACTCCTAAAGCAAAGTCTGGGAAGAGTTTCTTCTTAATTTCTATTTTAGGAATAAAAAACATGGAATACTTCTTAGGTGTTCCGTCTTTGAATGTAATTGTGATAAATGACGGTGCTCAAAATTTGCAGATTAATCTTTGAGCATTAACTCCATCCCTGATTAATACCTGTCATAGCATTCATCTTGCCTGCCTTTGAGCACGGTTGTTGTAGAAGTTTATATGGGGATGTTGTGTCTCGGCTTCTTTCATAGCCAAGGAACTATGGGGTTGATCCAACCTGGTACAGATGCCTGTTTTAGGGTGAGGTGTCCTGTCACCTCATCCTAGTAAGTCTCCTCAGCTTGCTCAGAGGTTAATTATCTGTATTAATATCTAATACTGTAGGCACCCAGACTTGGCGAGGCGAATCAGACCCCCACTCTTTGCTGAGGTTGTGCGCTTGGGCTGCAGACATGCCCACTGCTTTCAGCAGAACATGTTGAGAGAAGAATCTGCCCATCTGCCGTGAGATGGAGGGGTAATATCTCTGCTTACTTTTATCTCTTGTCCCTTTCATCCAGAACATATTGCTTCAACTGAAGTTAATACAGCTATTGGCAATGATATGAGCATATTCGATTTTTTTTCCTCCCATTAGGTTTTCTTGGAGGACAGGAAGCAATTTTCCCTTCTGTCATGTCATTTATCTAAGGATAAAGGAGGAGGGATGCAAACCTGCATTAAACTATCTTTGCTAACAGAAATCAGTTGTCCAGTAATATCTGTTTGATCTGTCCAGCTGATGGAAGAGATACAGCACTAACTTAAGCTGATGCTATATTTTCCAGGCTGTTAGCCAGCTTTTATCCATATTTTGGTGCAAAAGGGGGTGTGTACAGCAGAAGGGCAGAAAGAAGGCGGCTTGCCCAAAGGGCTCATCAGAGCAGCAGCCTAGTTTAGGTGCTTTGAAAGCCTAAATGTGATGGATGTGGTAGCAGTAGATACTCTCCATTTAAAAGATTTTGAAATAGTGCACAGCTGTCGTAGTACCTGTGTCTTTCCTTCTTACCCAACCCTCTCCAAAGTCATTCATCCCTAATAGTCAGTCCTTCATGAGGACTGTTTAGGGAATGGAGGGGTTTCTGTCTTCATTTGTCAGACAATTTCCAGGGACCCTTCTTGTAGCCAGCATAGTCTAGCTGACTTCTGAGGTTGGTTTGGTCTGTGCTGCGAAGTGGCTGATCCCAACAGGACAACCTTTCCCTACATATTTTCTCTCGTGTTTATGATAGCTTCTTCAAATCAGATATTCTACCCAGACCACAGGAAGTGAAAATACCGATTTGGACAACAGCATCCAAAAATGCCTTTAGAAGTATGTGAACCTGTGAGATAGAGGTTTATTTCATTAACTGAACAACATTTAAATCTCCTTCTCTGGTTAATTCAATCCACCCCTGTTCCAATCAGAAGGGTAAACAGTCTGAGCTCAGGAAATGATTCTGAACCTTGTTTGTAAGCTCTCATGGGCCAGATTGAAAACGGGGGAACCCTCACATGGAATTGGGCTGATACACCGCAGCTGGAGAATCTGGCTCTTTGTACTGACATCCCCTATGTGTGTACATTCAGCTGCTGAGACCTGAGCATGTGCAGTGCATTATTTCCTCCATCTTCACAATCTGGCAAGAAACTGTAGTGCCCTGAAAGGTTACACATGTGGCTATAAAGCTTGCGTGGATACTTGCTCAGCTGCATGCGTCACAGCTACATGAGCCTGGTTCCTCCTTGGAGTTGAGTAAAGGAGGGGTAGGGCTTTCTACCAGTGGATGCACCTTTAAAATAAGAACATAAACACCCACTGTAGCGTAGGAGTCCCCAAGCTAGCTATAATGTGGGCAAGTGGGCCATGTTCTGTAGCCAGAGATGCATATGGGAGTGTTTCCTGCTTGCACAGCCAGCTGCCTTTGGCTGCGCAGGCTGAATGCACAGCTTGTAGATTTTGCCACACATGCCTCAACTTGGCTTTTGCTAAATATTAGGCATAAACCATTTATTTATTATGCCTCTTTGTTTCTTGTTCCTGAAGGTATAATCCCTTTCCACAGACATCAGCAGTGATATTCCTATTTGCATCAGCAGGGCAGGGACAGGCAAAAGTTGCCGCCATCGCTCTCCCAAGTGTGTCTGCTCCCTGAGTAATCAGGGATCTGTTCCTTGTTCCCTGCATGTGCTTTGTGTTCAAGGTCTGTTGTTTAGCTTTGACTGGACAAACAGGCTATGAAGTGTCAATTGTCTTTGACTGGATAAACAAGGCATTTAGGAGCAGGCATCTAGTTTGAATATTCACGGCCAGTGTACTTAGAACGCTTTCTATGTGAGTTCTTCAGGGCTTCATTAGGGGTTATTCCCTCTGAAAGCACAGTTCCCTAGAACACTAACAGGAAGAAAACATGAAAAAGGTGAAAACGTAATTGAATCCAATTCCTTTAAAACTGGATGAATGAATATTGCTGTAAAGTATTTGCAGTAACCTCCCAGATGTCTCTCTTAGACTTTGGATGAACTTGGCTCAGAAGTACCTTTTCTTTTCCTTTTTTTTTTTAGATTTTGCTTTTTATTAAGCTTTTGAACAACATTTTACAACCAGTAATAAAAAGGAATATTAAATCTCATGCAATCTTTCATAGCCGATAAAGAAAAGTGTGCTGTATCTTACTAATATATCACACTCTCCTGGAAAGCTTTTGTACCTTAGAACTGGGAATGGGCCTGACTCCCCCATATTAAGTACTTCCCTGCAATTTGTGGGGTAGGAGTTTTAGGTTTGTTAATGTGTATTTCTGCAGCACAACCAGAATCCTCTGTACTCTGTCATGTATTTGAAAGATGGGATAAATCGTTAGGATGTGTCCTAGGAGATTTGCACCCATTACAGACCTTGGAAACTTCATGAGAGGAGCTCATCTCTGAGAGTTCTTGTCTTGCTGAGGTCAGAATCCTGCAAGAACATGGCTATTCTAAAGAACTAAATGTGAACCCGATGTTAGCACTGATTTAATCTTGCTCATAAACTTAAAACTTGAGCCGAAACCTCTCTGCATGTGGATAGCAGGGATGACTGGTTGATGGATCTGAAACTTTAAGTGTTGTGTACAATTGGGATTGCTAAGCAGGATGAGAGACGTGTAGAACCTTGGATAGTCCTGTAAGGATATATAAACCCTTCACAGGCTTGTCAGATGAAGAGCAAATATGGATTTATGTGTTAGGATGAAGGAAACTGGAACCTTCCTACTGGTGAAGGTTAGGAAACCTCTTGCATTCTCTCCAATGAACTGCATGCCTGCATAAGCCAAGGGGATTCACAATCAATGTTCTGCCTGCCAGGAACCGCAGCCTTCAGAGAGTGCAAGTGGCTCTGGGAGATCCCTGAAAAAGAATGAGACCTTCATGTAGGAAAGGGTATTTTTAGTGATTGTTTGTTTGTTTTTACAGTTAAAGGAAATGAAACCAAAGCCCTAGTTTGACTTTCTTTGTGGATTAGTCTGTGCTAATTATTGCTGTTAATAGAACTGTGAGCCCTCAAGGCCCCAAACATGCAAAGACTTGTGCTGCTGTTTTGCGTGCCCATTGAATCCAGAACTGACAAACAACTGCCTGCAAAGTTAAAGGTGTATATCTTTGCAGGATTTGGGCATGAGAAGGGGTTTGGAATCATCGTTGTTTTAAGAGCCCCCAAAAAACAAGGGCTGGTGGAAAAGATCAAAGTAATTCTCTTCATTCAAGCATGATTCCTGATCAGTTGCTGTCTTCGAGGCTCTCTAGTTAAGCCTTGTACAGGAGAAAATAGTAAGGAATCACAAGCAAATGACAAAATCAATCAAAGGCAGGAAAGAAAAACAACCTCCTTATTTATGATAAGTATCAGTTCTGTTTCCTCTGTGTTGGCTTTATCCGCAGCCTGCTGTAATCAATTATATCTTCCTCTTGACTTGGAAGCATTCTGGGAGAAAGCCTGTGGCTGCTGATGATTGTTTTAAACTGAATCTCTGAGCAAGCTGCATTGGGCTGTAGCACAGCAGTCCTGGACCTCATGCTGCACATGGTGTCCTGCAATACTCGTTGCCCAGGTCCGCTACTGGTGCAGCTGCATAGTCACGGTGTGCTGCCAAGGCTGTGCTGTTCTGCAGAAACATCTTCTTGTGCTAATCCATCTGTACCACTTCTGGTTCCAAGGGAAATGTACAGGGAAGCATCTCGGGAAGCATTAATACCACCAGTCTCTTCATAAGCTACAACTTAAAGGGCAGTTACTGCCAAGAAGTGAACACACCTACGTTACAGTGGGGTTTTGGCTAAACAGTCTAGACAGGCTGGTTGAGAAATGATTTGTTTTCTTCTCTTTTAAATCATCTTTATCACCACCCCACCATGCACAAGCGCACACAACTGGTCATGACAGTGTTTTGACCCTGCTGTTGCAAAGACAAGGAAAAACGCAATTGGTTTTGGTTGATACTTGTTGTTTAGTTTCATAGAGAACTGCCAGTTTTAAATGACTACAGAAAAGAGATTCCTTTAAAAAGAGATGGAGAGATTAAAATGTGAATAGAAGCATTTTGCAAAAGGAAATGTAAAGTTTTTTGGGGAAAAGATTTCAACTTGCTATATTTTGCTGTATAAGGGGAGACAGGCAACTCTGCACAGTGGTTCTTCCAGTTGATGTTATAATACCTACATGTGGAACGAATCTTTTAAAGTCTCTGGATGAAACTCTTGGAGAAAAACACATGAAATCTAAGGAGCAAAACTGGTTGGAAGAGACATTATGCCTTATGCAGAGAATAAAGTAGTTGTCGAGGCTTCCAAGAATCATTGTGGACTTCCTCCTGACTGTTTAGGTGAAATATGAAACTGGGATGTTTAGGTGCTTACACTGGAGGTAGTCATCTTGTGTGTTTCAGAATCATTAACTAGGCTGGGATTTCCAGTGATGTCCAGGTTTGCTAGGTGCCCAACCTCAATGAAAATTCCCTTTGAAAACTATGGAGGAGGTGGGTGATAATGAGGGTCAAAGTATTTGTGGCCCTAATAGCATCTCACAATTAAAGTTGGAGTATTACATTGGAGTATTACACAAAAGGAGAACTTCACTGCCTTTGATGAAAGTGCGTATTATGAACTTTATAAGGAACCCCCAAAGCTTGAATGAGATGTCTCATGCTTCATTCTATTTTGGAGTTCAACATTTGAGAGATGGGCTTAAGAGAGGCCACCGTTGTAGTCCTGTTTGTCATCTGCTGGGACCAGGTGGAAAGCAGATAAGAGGATTTTCAAAAGGTATATAGAGCCTAACTCAGAGATTTGTAATTCTTTCTCTAGAAGTGAAAGCACTTCCCACAGAACTTTAAAATATTTTATGATAAATTGAAAAACTGCTCAGGCATAGTGAGCCTTTAAATACAACCCTCACACCATGTTCTTATTTATGGAAGACCAGGTCATCCTGATTAAGAGAGTGATAGTGTTAAGAATAGGAACAGTGACTTGTAAAGAACACTGAGGCTGCATCACAGAGCTGTTCTTCTGAAACATAAATTTTCATTACAAAAATACAGTGCTTTCTTTGCAAGGAGTCGTAGAGCGCTTTAAAAGGCTAATGACATTATTGGTAGGTGATACATTTTGCAAATAGAAGACAAGGAAGAGAAAACATAATTTCCTCTAAATTTAGCATAAATTCTATTACCTCTGTTATTGTCCCATAGGCCAATGGCACAGCTTTCCTAAAGCATCTCCTTCCTAGATTATAAGGTACGGTTTGTTCTTTCAGAGTCCTGTATTGTTTCTATGGAGATCAGTGCAAACGCATAGCTCTTCATGCCTATATAGGGCTTATGAGTTATAAAATAAGGAATGGGAAGTTGGGTATCTGCATATATACTTGGGTAGCAGTAACGTGGAATCCAGTGTGGATTGGCAACTGTGAAAACGTGCTTCATGCTTAGGTTCAGGGAGGTGAGTGCCATGCTCCTGTGTTTAGAAAACCTTGGCCAGGGTCTGCGAGTTACTTACTGATTAGTTGTATTTTATCTTGATTCCCACCTCTTATTTCCTTCTAGTTAAGAGAACTCTTGCAGTTAATCACAGCAAGATTTTTAGACATCAGTGATGAGGATTTGGTGGTGCTGGGCACCTACTGAGTAAAAACCTTTTCCCGTGTTTCTAGACAGGTACTGAATAGATCAGATCAGGATTAGGAAGTGGTTATGTTCATATTGCAGAGAGGAGGCACAGGTACAAACAGGTTACACGGCATTTTGTCCAGACCCTCTGACAGAACTGGAAACTGAACACAGACCCTATTTTCTTGTTTGAGGTCTGTAACCCCAGAGCAGCTCTTCCACCTTCATCTCTCTCACAGGTTTTATTAGCATGCAGCTGGACCGTGGCATCCCAGTTACTCATGGTAATTATTCAGCAGCGTCTTGCAGGACTTGGGTGCTGGAAGTATTAGATCTATTCTACATAATTTATATAATTTACTCGTGAAAGTCAGAAGGGAAAAGGAGCCCCTAAGTTTTGATTAGACACTAAATTCATTATTTCACATTAGAATTGCCTTCACCAGAGGACCAGGGATACTTATTTGATTCAGTAACAAGAGCTCCAAAGGGTACTAATTTAGTAAGACTATTGACTGTTCATTACTCTGATGTTGCTCAAATAGCTGAGAGCATGTGTGGTGTTTAATGTGATCTTAAACATTACTATCTACGGTAAATCAGAAACAGGGCACAAGTGCTATAGCTGCTGTTTAATGATGTATGAAAAAGCTGCCTGGTAAAGTGCACCATTAAGAAAAGCTAAAACCAGTGCTGAACAAAGACCCGATGAAATATTGATACCTTTGCAGCCAGTACGATTTCTTCTTACTTGGAAAGTGACTGAAGTCTGGTTTTCAGGAAAATCACACTTAACTTGAGCAAAGCAGTGCAATCAGATGCATGGGAGAAAAATATCTACTGGGGCGAGAGAACAAGGAAAAATAATACAGTTAGTCTTCTATACATCAATGTTTAGTTTATAATCAGGAAGACTTCCAGTTCTGCCATTATTCCCTTTCCATTAAACTACCGAACCTCTCCCACTGCATCCCCAACTCTTTCCTCTTTCTTGGAGAAAGAATCCAATTAAATCCAATTATTATTATTAATCCAATTGAAGAAAAAAATAAGACAGTCCTTTTTAAAGGATGAACTAAAGGATGTAAACTTCATCCAACCTTTAAAAACTGTAAAAAGACTGATGCTCAGGGAAGCTCTCCCTGATCAGATGCCATCATTGCCAGACCTCCCCTCAGAGATTCTCAGGAAAAGCATTACTTTTCTGCAGTGGACTTGCATGTTCTTAGCAGGGAGGAGGATGCTCCTCTGTGCATGTATATCCAAGAGAATGGCTTTTTCAGCACTGTCATGAGCACTGTTATTTACAGACCAGAAATGTGCATCCATTTGCCAGTATTTTGACGTAAAGCTAGTGTTCCTGACACCGGGAATGGTGGCTTCATTTCTTTTAACCTAGGGAATCACCTCTTCAGCTCTTTGTGAATCAGGGCTCAAACGTGTGCAAATTGGGCTATTTTTGTTTTACTTTTCTCTTGCTTTTTTCAATTCCCATCCTTTCCACCAAGCTTGCGGTAACCAGGGCTGTGGTAGGTCAGTGCTGTCCCAAGGGTCTTGTGCACAGGGGTACGATGGAAGTTTTTAGAAATCAGGGTCCTGTCATAATTGTGGAAGCTGGCATTGATTGCAGTACATGTGCTTAGTGGTTAGAGCACCTCTCTCACACCGATGCCTTCTGTAGTTTGTGGTGAAAACCTGAAGTTCCTCGTCTGACAGCTGCAAGTGGGCTTTGCTGGCTCATAGATCCCACTATGCAGCTCTTTCAACCTAGAAAGAAGTAAATACAAAACCAAGAAGGCACCCAGAAATGATCAAAGCAGGGAGTTTGAAAAGACAAGACAAAAAGGAAGTGCTTTTTCACACAACACATAATGAAATTGTGCTACTCATCAGCACAGGATGCTGAAGAGACCTGAAGAATAAATTCATTCAAGATAAATAAAATAATGGGATTAGGCAACCTTATTAGAAGAGGTCTCCTGGTGGTTATTAATGATGTAGGTGGAATCTCCAGGTCAGGAAATCCTGGAGCCATTGATTTTAGGAAACAAGACAATGTAACCAGGAATGAATTGTGCTTTCCTGGCCCCATTTTTTTCCCTGGGTTTCTATTACTGAGGCATTCTGGGGCAGCTACTAGGCCAAGGGACCTCAGGCTGAAGCAGAGCGGCCCTTCTGCTGGAAATGGCCTGAAACTACGAGCTTGATTCAGTCCATCTGAAACCCACAGGTCTCTTCTGCTCTGAGGGTGAGGTTGCCATCTGCACTGAGGACAAAACAAGAGGTTGGGTGTTCAGAATTTGTCTGCTGAGAGCCTTTGCTGTAAGCAAGATCTCAGTGGTTGCTCCAGATTTCTTAAACTGGGGGAATAAAGGCTGGATGCATGGTTATTAATGTGCAGTGTGGGCTCCCTCCACTCTGTTGCTGCAAGAGGCCGTGCATAGATCTGCCTGCTCAATATATACAGTCAGGGTACACAGTATGTA